CGTGTAGGTTGAAGGAAGAAAACTGTGTAGATACATAAACTTGTAATGAAATAAACTCATAAATCTGTGTTTTGTTTCCTAAGAAGGTTTGCAGAATTCATTTGACCTGAACAGTCACCTCCTTCTCTTGCTTTGCTTCAGGAAACTTTGTGCCCTGGGGTTTTTCTTACTTTTTTTTTCCTTTTTGAAGAGTTACGTCTATAGTGTAAGGCTTTCCGTATCCCATAACCACACCAAAGACTGCAGTAGCTTGGGCAGGAATCGGTGTGGTAGTAGGGATGCTCAGGTAGAGATTGACCAACTGATGAAGTGTAGAACACACAGAACTTCATAGTTGAGGACCCTTCCTTTGCACACCTCTTTTCCCAAAGGCTGGTCCGTAGGTGAGCCAGTCCTGGCTCATGTCCTGAGCCATGGCATGGAGTGTCCTCTTCTTGAGTCCTTACCTGGAGTGTCCTCTTCTTGACTCCCTACCTGGAGTGTGTGCCACACACGATTGTGTTACAGAAAGGATCTAATCTCAGGTAATGTAAATCTCCTTCTGCCTGGTGCCACAAAAACTTGGCTTTTTAGTGCTTACTTACAAGCATTAAAAGGATGGGAAGGATTTCAGATCTTTACAGAACCGTTGTTGTACTGGCACTTCCAGCTCCACCTAGTAAGTCTTTAGGTTTAGCCCAAGAAAACATCAGAATTAAGGTGAAGGCATGCAATGAGTTGTAGATTTTGGTAATACTGTAGTGGCTTGTGTCTCTGGTGCTGGTTTCTGGGGGACTGTAGTCTAAATGCTTCATTTCTGTATCTTGGTTTCTCTGTAAATGGAGATGATGCTTTTCAACAAGATCTGACCAGGGTGAAGGATTTCACCTATCGATGCCTATTGCATAAAATAGTTCTGAAGATATGCAAAGCCATGCAAATACCTGTTTTTAAGATGCTGGTTTTTATCTGTTCTCTTTTAAGTGCTTGTGATCAGAGCAACAACTATGTTATTGATAAGTTCGCAAGGAATCTGCTGTCCTCTATGCCAACGGGTGCTGTGGTCTTGCTAAGAGGAGACTTACCTGGGAATGCTCTTCGTTATGTTCATTATTGCGAAGGGATGAGGCCAGATATCACCTTGGTGGACCAGGAGGTAGGTTCAGAAAGTAATATTAAAAGAGGCAATAGGCAGGCTTAAAAATAGGAAGCAAAAGTTCAGTTGTTTCTTTCTCTCCTTGAGGGGGTCTCTTTGTTCGACTAAAACTCATGATGCAGAAATAAAATTTTGTTTTCTTTTTAAAGGGTTGTGGGTAGCTCTGGGATGGAACATGGTGTGCAAGGCCCATTCAAGCCCAAAAAGCCACCAGGGAGGCAATAGCGGGTAGAGAGAAGGGGAAGCCCAAGCCCTTCATCATGGCAGATATCCAGATGTGGCACAGGGCTGACGTTTGCCTTGACGAGGAAGCTTTGTCCCTGCTTTTTCTGTGGTTGCCCTGAAATACGGATGTCGGGGCAGCAGAAGGCTTCTGGGTTTCTCCCAAGGTTTCTACCATGCTGAGGCTCATTCCCTGCATCCCCCGTGTTATCTTGGTCCCCCAAAGGTGGTTTTGCAGACTTCTGCCTCTAGTTTTTTACATTAAAATGGAGGTGCTGTGTGTCCCTGGGTGGTGGTTACACTCCTTCCCTTTTTCATGAGAAATGGGAGAAGGAAAAAACCCCACACAGAAGGAGTCACCTACAGTTCTGCTGCCACATCAGTCCTTGCACTTGGCTTTGCAGCAAGGGTTTGTGGCTTGTTGAGAAACCCAAAACCCAACGCCTCGTGTTTAACCAACGCACAGCCTTGCTGTGTCTCTTACCAGCAGCAGTTATTTTGTGTTTCCTTTGCCCCCTCAACAGGGAGGACCCCGTGCCTCTGGTCAGAAACCACTGGTGACCTGGTCTGATGGTGTGGTCCCAGGCAATTGCTGAAATGGGAGGTGACCTTACCGAGCAAATAGCGTCATTGCTCCTGCAGAAATCATTTTCTTCTGGGTGTAAAATGGATGAAAACTTTGTTTCTTGTTTAAATTTTGCTTATATTTTTGATGATAGATGATGACTTACGGATGGTACTTACCAAAGCTGGCAAAGCATTTACCTGGCGTTTATTTTCCTGGGAACCGGTGGAATCCTGTGGAAGGAGTATTACCCGATGGGACACTTGCTTTTAATCTGCATCGTTTCCTCAAAGTAAATAAACAGTAAGCATTGCTTTCATATGTAACAGCTTTCCTAAAATCTTCAACCTTTTTTTCTTGAAATTGTTTATGGAACAGCTTGGTACTGCATCCAAAAGACCGATTTTCTCCACTGACTTCCTCCCCGGTGGTGAGATTATTTTTGCAATTAAAGCAAATATCTATGCAGAAGTAACTCCATCCGGATATAATGTTTCTTGTTGTTTTGAGGTTGGTTTGGTTTTTAGGAAGAAAAAAAAAAAGAAGGTGATTGGCAGGGAGTATTTACTGATTATTTTTGTTGTTGTTGTTGATACAATTCATCACCAAAAAAAAAGGAACATTCCCCTGTACTCAAAATGACGATGGTTGGAGAGCAAATTGCTGCTGCTTCTCCTTTGTGAACATTGTGGCCAACTGATTAGCATAGAATGAATGTATTCCGGGAATAATCATCATATAAAAATAGCTTAGTAAGAGTGGAGAAAGGATTAGATACTCACATGAATAAGAATAGCATCTGCATTTAGACTAGCCGGGGTGAGCCTCGCGAGCGTGGGTCGGCAGAAGAGCATTGCCAGGTGCCATTGGGGAGGAACGGGCTTCTCCTGCGCCTTCTGGCACGCCTCTGAAGCCCAACGCAGGGGACAGGATGTGTCCCCTGTGCCAGCTGCACAAGGTGGGCAGTGCCAGATGGGGGGTGCACTTGCAGCGGGAGAGCTGTTCTGCAGAGCGACCCAGAAACGTGCCCTTTCCGATGGGAAACTGTCTGGACAGATATCCATGCTGCAGAAAATGTTGTGCTGCTTAAGAGCTGTCCCCTGGCGTGGGGCACGTGGTTTGCTCCAAGCACGCGGGGTGGCCCACGGTCTCTGGCATGGCTTCACGATTGCTCTCTCTGGTTTGTTTTTTGTTTGTTTTTTTTTTTTTTTTTGGCAGTAAGGAAGTGTTTGTCTGCATAGGTCTTCATGAAGGGGACTCAACCTGGAGAAGGAGCTATTCGCTCTGGCCGTGGGGTACATGTGAAAAGCTGGTTCCTTCTGACGTTGTCTTTGACCCAGGAGAGTGGATTAATCTTACAAGAAATCTCTATAACTGGACTGAAGACTATGGCAGGTATGAGGCAGGGGCACGACTGCTCCTTCCAGCTCATCATCCTTCTGTTGGCGACACCACCGCATCCATTGCAGTGTCAGAGAAATTAAACATGAGCTGTAATCATAATGTTTTGTCTTCTGGAACATATAATAAATTGGCAAGTGGTACTTTTATTAGTGTTAAAAATAGAGAGGATGTTTCTAGTCAAATATCAGGTCCAATTCCGATCTTAAAACTTGATCAGGAGCAAAAAAACATTGAGGACTTTGGGATATCCAAAGCTTTAAGTGTCATAGACTGAACTGTGATGGATGGTAAAAAGCACCTCTCACTTTGAGGATAGCTAGGATGCTGTGAAACACCTGATATACCAGAGGCTCCTTTTATGGAGAGAGAGGAATACGGTTTTATGAATGGCTGAGGATCAGCTGAATTCCCTGCTGTCAGAGCCGTGGGCTTCGTGATGGGTTTTCTTCTGCCTGGGAGGTCTGTAGCTGCCTGGGTTAGAAGGGTTCATTGCATGGTGGGTGAAATGCAGTGGCATGGATCTGATGGCTGAATTTTATTCTCATTCCCATTTAGTTTCAAGCCCTCTTCCTGGGAAGCGGTCGCCAACGAGGAGATGTGGCAAGCCAGGTGATGTTCCTTTGCTCCCTTCCAACAGCCGGTGGGCAATGCCAACTCACTGGCGTGGAAATGCACACCAAAGCAGGCAGCTTGATGGCGCATGGCCTTATTGGTTCTAAATGTGCCAGCTTTAGAAGGAAAAGGTTGGCAGAATGAGGGGAAGCATGCATGACCGCCGGCAAATCCTTCAGGAAAGTGGTAGTTTTGTTCACCAAAAGGTTCTGCTCAAAGTATCTCAAAGGAGCAGAGGGTAGTTGGGACATAGGGTGAGAAAATACATCATGGAGAGAAATCTGTTACTACTGATGACTTAAATGGAGATGCTGGTGTACTGTCCCATACGTGGGCACGTTGAAGATGTGTATAACCATGCAATGTGAGCTGGTTACGTTAAGCAGTTGTTATATGCAAGTTCTTCTTGTTTTTCTAGGATGAAAACGGCTTTCTTTATATTTGACCTTGCAGAAACGGCCAGTGTGACTGCAGAAATGAAATCACAGCTTTACACATTTGCATACACTGTAAGTCATGTATTTTGGTTTTGAATGCTCCCTGCAGTCTCCATCCTTTTTTTTTTTTTTTTTTTTTTTTTTTGGACTCGATAAAATATGAGCCCGCAGTGTGCCCAGGTGGCCAAGAAGGCCAATGGCATCCTGGCCTGTATCAGAAATAGTGTGGCCAGCAGGAGT